CGATTTAGTCCAGCTTTGGTAGAATAAGTAATACGTTTGGGTTTTTTTTTTACCAAGAACTTAGATTGGCATCCAAGTGAATGTGATTGGTCGAACCATAAACCATTTCTAATATCTGACTGAACGGAGGAGCTAAAAAAAATAAAAGAAAGGTTTCAAGCTTTCTGGAGTTTAAAGGAAATTTTTATTGATTCAAGACTAAAAGAAAATCAATGGAAAAAGAAACCAAACATGCAAATATGTATCTGAATATTATTAGAAATCAACACATGGTCCTTACTATATAAGGAAACAGGAGAATGTTTGTGTGTGCTGCTGTTCCTGCAGTTCCTTGAAAACCTTTTTTTTTTCTTGTTTTACCAGCGAACTAAAGATCTTTTCATTGGAAAGTGAGGATATTATTCTCGTCCTCACTTTTCTTGAGTTTGGTGCAGGACTAAGGTGTGAATTGAGTATAGGTTAGGTTGTGGTTGGATAATTCAGTTTCCTGTTAATTCCGTTTAGATAGTATTGATGTTGGATTTACTTACTTTATCAAAGTTTTCACTCAGTCATTTCTCATGTGCAAGGCCACGCAGTGTTTGAGAGGAGTTGTTGATTTACTATTAGGGATTGCTTGGGACAGAAAGTGGTGGTTCCTATAACAGACCAGATTCCTTCTCAGGGTTTTAATCTTAACATTTTACTGCTTTCTTTAACTTTCTGCACACTGTTTGGATTAACTCTGTGGGTTAGGGGGAGTGTTGGCCTAGTGGGTTAGAGCAGTGAGCTTGTGCTCTGAAAAGGTTGCAAGTACCAGGTTTCGACCCCTATAGCCTCCACTCTGGGTCCCTGAGCAAGACCCTTAACCTCACACTGCTCCCTGGGTGCCACACAATGGCGGCCCACTGCTTTCCAAGGTGATGAGTTAAATGCAGAGGTAAATTTCTCCAGTTCTATTATTATCACCTTCACAGCTCTTTTGCAAACTTTAATTTAGTGAGAATAGCTTTGTCTAGCTAGAGCAGGGCAGAACACCGATATGTGTTATGATCTGTCTTGTGCTCATTTTATCTTTGCAAAAACAAATAAAATGCTATATTTAACTGGATTGCATAGTCGAATGCCTATTTGCTACGGCAGTTTTGCATTGTAGGCAGGATCTACTAACTTATTTTTCTGGAAGTATTTATGGCAGAAATGTCTGATCAACCTGGGATTATGTCCTGGCCTGAACCCAATAGAACTTTAAGGAATAGAGGACTTAATGTTTCCAAGGGTTAGCAGGAGCTTCCGAACTGAATTTATTTCATACCGTCCGTATTCCAGCTATTAATCGGATGGGAGCTCTCGTGAACTGAGGTGACAGGAAGCTAATGTTGGATGGTAGATTGTCCACCTTCCTGTTGAAGAGGATGGGGCCTGAAGATGAAGACAGTCAGAAGGCCGACGAATCCCATCCCACATCATAACGATCCCTTAGAATCCTTGAATCTTGAATAAAACTCTGTAGGCTTAGGGATGACCAACCCGGGTTGGTTGAGTCTGCTGAGGCCAGGTGGAAGAAGTCTCAATGATGAGGTACGGTTTATCAGCTTTAAGTACAAAAAAGAAGAACGTATGTCTTTTAATGGTGCATATTTGTTCAAAAGACGCTGAAGTTGCTCACAATGAATGAAGTAGCCAGAAGTTTTACTCAAGTAAGAGTAGTAAAAGTTGATTATATTTAAACTCAATTAAAAGTAAAAAATAAAGTGCATTAAAACTACTCTTGAAAGTATTTTTTTTTTCAATTACTCAAGAAAACGTAACTAGTTACTTCCTGTCTCTGAAAAAGTAGTCCAGCTAGAGAATCCTTGACAAATATAGTTTTGTCCAACTTTTGGTCGCTTTGGCTAAGAGACAAGAAGGTAAAAAGTTAGAAAAATGATAGAAAGTGGGGAGCGAGGGACAATTTGATTATAAAAACGAAGATCTTTTCACAGCCTTGCTGACTGACAGTGGGACACTGATTTACAAAAACAGAAAAATTGAAGTAAGACTTTCTTTTTGACTAACCTAATCTGACACAAAAACTCTCAATTTCTTGGGCATACATGCATAAGAAATATGAAAACATTAGGAATATGTTTAAAAGTTCCCTTTTCATTCATATTTTAATCCGTTTTCTCATCAATGTCAGGGAGGGGAGTGAATTCTCAGTAGGCAGGTATTTGTCTGCAGGGGGGGTTTACCATTAGCCAATACTAGGCAGTTGCCTAGGGCCCCAAGTTCCTGGGAGCCCAATAAAACTCTGTTTACATGTATAGCTAATAAAACTATTCCTTATTTGTGCACATTAATTAAGGGTTGTGTTTTTTATCCTTTTGCTAAAATGCCATCAGAAATAATAATATTAAGTGTTTCTCAGCCCCCACCCCCCACCCCCCCCTTCAGTGTCCACCATATTGGATCAGTCCATTTGCTCCACATGTTCAAAAAGGTCCAAACAGAGAGCAGCAAACCATTTGAAAACAAAGTGTGCAAAGAGCAGTGTTGCCAACTTAACGCTTTTGTCGCCATATTTATCAACTTTTTGGACCCCTCTAGCACTTTCATTTAAAAAGAGCCTAGCTCCAAATCTAATAACTTTTTTCTGCTACTGGAGACTTAGGCGACAACATCTAAAAGCAGCGAACTCTGCTCTCCAGAGCAAGTAGATTGGTAACCCCGCCTCCTGCTCTCCTTTCTCTTGTCTGCTGTCATGATTCATGTAGATATTATTTCATCCAAATGGAAAATGGAGAACAGAGAAGCAGATCGTGGCTTGTCTGCAGTGAAAAGAAGGACTGGGATATTTACTTTTGCCGTGGTCTTTTTGGAAACACAGGAAGGAGCAATTAGCTAAGTGAGCTTAGTGCTTGGAAAATATATTTAATTCCCTTTGAGACAGCATGAAAAGTCAGTTGAGTACAAAACATAGCGAGGAAAACAACGAAAAAAAAAGGGACAAGAAGAGAGGGACAAAACATAGAACATATAATGTATATCTATTCGATTAAAATTTCTGTATCTGTATAATGGGTCTATTTTATGTGTTGTCTGCTCAATTCAAAGGGCCCCCTGCCCAATGGTGTAACAACACAACAATAGGCCTGTAAGCAGCATTATCTGGGTGGGCCCCATATGAAATAAAACACGTGATAAAATGACAGTTCCATCAATCGGCAAAGAACATACAATTATGCAACTCTCAGTAGTATATGATCACACATCACACACAGAAAAATGGTGACTGCGCACCTTGAATTGAACCATTGGTGACAGCCCACCACCACATGTTACAGACATCCCAAGTTCCAAAACCTCATTTCAGGGAGATGCTTTTCTGGAATCTGCTTAAGTTCCTCATTTTGGTATCCATCGTCGCTAACACATTGTACATAACTATTATGGTTTTAATCTACACTCTGGATTACCCATAATTCCAAGTCGTACTGTAAAAAATAAAATACACAAATACATAATTCTTTTAAGACCTTTATTGCTGTTTGAAACATTATATGAGTGTATTTTTACCAACCCTCCAATGAACTATACACAGTTATTAACATAGTAATTAAACTGACTGCTTTGGCCCCTAAGAGGTCGTGGGCCCGTAAAGCCGGGCGTACACTGTGCAATTTTTTCAATCGTTGACTAAATCGCAGTGTTTCATCGTACAGTGTGAGTTCACAGCTCACGATGTATGTGTAGCACGACGATCTGATGCAATCTACCTGCTTACACTGGACGTCTAAAAACCACGTCGGACTCAGCTTCGCATTGAGATGGAGCTGCTCTGACTCGTCTATCTGGAAGCCGAATAAATAGAAGGGGAATATGAAGCTCACTAGAGTGAAACGCGCTGCATTGGCAATTTGTGCATTTTTTTGCTGAAAGCCCTAAAAAGAAAAGGTGACAATGTATTTGCACAAAGACATGGCTGAGCAAACGTGGCTACTACGGTCTGTCAATATTACAGACAGAACTCCAGTTCACTCGCACCTCCGCCATGCTGCTGTTTTTACATCTGAGATGAAAAAGAAAAAGAAGAGTCTATTTTTGTCCATGCCAACTGAGCAATTTGCCCAGTCAGCATGCACAAACACACACTATTCCTGATCGCGAGCTGGTCGTGGGAGGCTGATCGCTCCCCGTACACTACACGATGCACGATCAGGCTGAAGGTCAGGCCGATCAAAAAATTCTCACACGACTTTAAAATCGCCCCGAAAAGGTAAAAAAATTGCACAGTGTATGCCCGGCTTAAGCAACTTCTGTCTCTGCTTACCGATATTTACGCCATTGCTCCTGCCTGACTTTGCCTAAGGCCAATGGCGTATATCGGTAAGCAGAGACTGCAGTTGTTTACTGGGCCCCGACCTCTTAGAGGCCCCGTCACTGACTTCTGGTAGGCCCCCTTCTCAATTGTGGACTAGGTCATCTCATTGCAGATTTAATGGTGCGAAAAAATCCGATTATATCCCACCTGAATATATAATAAATGACTGGACCTTATTTATACCCCAACACATGGCAGATTTCAACATGAGCCATTTAAACACGACACCAATAGCAAAGCAGACAGGAGTACTTTTAATTACTATGTTAATAACTGTGTATAGTTCATCAGTTGTTTAAAAAAATAATACACTCCTATAATATGTTTCAAACCGCAATAAAGATCTTAAAAGAACAATGTATTTGAGTATTTTAATTTTTACACAACAACTTCGTATTATGGGTAATCCATAGTGTTGTACTTCATATGGAGCCCACCCAGATAATGTTGCTCAAAGGCCTATTGTTGTGCCATTGTCTAGGGCCCCAAATTTCCTAAATCCGCCCCAGTTTCTCGGCATAACACCCCCCTATAATTGTAAATATAATCTAGAACCGCCACTGGTCATTAACATTTATGTAACACGTTCTGTATCATGGGCGCGGCTGGGTGAGACCTCCTCCCTCCCTCCGTCCCTCCTCCCGGCGAGGCAGTGACGTCAGTGCGCTGATAGCTGCGTGGGTCTGGCAGAGCATCCTCCTCACAGCATCCTCCTTATGTAATGCCCGAAATGCTGTCGGATGGATGGGACTAAAACTGGAGGAAACCTGAGTGAAGCTGCGGAACAGCGCGGTGTTTAGGGAGGAAAACGGACCGATTTTTAAATCATCAGATTTCTCTCCAAGCATCAGGGGCCTCCTGAAGGGGCGCAGCCTCTTGGATCTGCACACACGCACTTCTTTTTCTCTCTCCAGATATATAATTAGCCTGCATCATACATCTGCTTGGAGAAACCAATGCAGGTTTGTTTGAGAGAAAACAGTCGATCTTTTTCTTTGCATTCCTCTCTGCTCATCCAGCAGCCAGTGCGCTGTAGAATAAATGATGGCGGGTCCAGAGCAGCAGCAGCAGCAGCAGGCAGAGCGCATAGATGATGCTGAGATGGCTCTGCAAGGCATCAACATGCTGCTCAACAACGGATTTAAGGAGAGCGACGAGCTGTTCAAGAGATACAGGTAATTATTTCAACTTGCCCAGAACAACAGGTACACAATAATTAGAATAATTACTAACCATGCCATCTGGCTGATGTAACCTGAATGAATTAAACCAATTTATTTGCCATTTAAAGACAGTGAATCCTAACAACCTGCCACTGTTAAACATGACTGCTTTGGGGTTATGGCCCATCACCCTGGGCGCCTTCACCTAGGGGACAACAAAAGCTCATAAAAAAAAAAAAAAAAAAAAAAAAATATATATATATATATATATATATATGTATATATAACTACTATATATTAGTAGTTTAGTTTATACTTTTTGATAACTGATTTGGTCAGAACTTACTAAATAATTCTATGTTGAATAGGAGTTTCTTACAACCCAAAAAACAAAGAAGGCATAATATTCATCCATCCATCCATCCATTCACCCAACCATCTATCCATCCATCCATCCATTCACCCAACCATCTATCCATCCATCCATCCATCCATTCACCCAACTGTCTATCCATCCATCCATCCATCCTTCCATCCATCCATCCATCCATCCCATCCATCCATCCATTCACCCATCCATCCATCCATCCATCCATCCATTCACCCATCCATCCATCCATCCATCCATCCATCCATCCATCCATCCATCCATCCATCCATCCATCCATCCATCCATCCATCCATCCATCCATCCATCCATCCATCCATCCATCCATCCATCCATATATTTAGGAAAGTAAGCCATAAATATGATTATATATTCTTCTTTTCTGTGTTATTCTTTATCAGTTTTAAGTTGTATATCCTGATATTAGTAAGTGAACATGACATGAACTTGGCATTTATTCCACAGTCTTTTACATTAAAGCTAGTTGTGGAGTGTTTCCTGGTCATGGTCGACTGTAATAGACAGTGACAGCATGTTCTGAGCACACTGTATTAAAAAACACACAAGCGGGAAAAAAATTACATAGGAAAGGCCAGCATTGTTTTTTTTTTGCTTTGCTTTTTGCTTTGCTTTGTTGTGGTCTCTTATTTTTTCCCCTAATCTCTCTGTCTCCTTTTAGGACTCACAGCCCTTTGATGAGCTTTGGAGCAAGCTTCGTCAGTTTCCTGGTGAGATCCGCCTTAAGAAGCGCCACTCCAGCAGTCAGATGAAGCCAGAGACAAATGTAGAAGAAAAGTCAGAATCAATGTTAGATGTGAGACCAGAGAAATCTGTCAAACAGCTGAGCTCACATTGTCACCACTGATATCCTCCTTTTTTCCTCCCCATTTATAACCATTAACATAATGGATGCATCCTCAGGTCAAGAAATGCATTACTGAGGGGGAGAGTAGATGACTGAAAGCCAGTGTCTGTCAGTGTTGATTGAGGGAGATGATTCATAACATGATGTGCTGCTCACACTTATATAAGAACTCTCTCTGCCATACCCCTTTATGTGACCCCTAACATAAAACGAAGGCCAGGATGATGTCACTGCTTTCACTTAATGCTAAAAGCACCGGGCTGTCGGGACGGCAAATCTGACTGTCACATAACCAACCATTTAAAGGGAAATTATATCATGTGACATGCTGCCTCCCACTTCTTTTCCTCATGCATGAAATTCTGAAAGCAGAATCCAGTTAAAACACATCATCACCTTCCTGCATGTCTCAAGTTATTTCATAAATTTTTTTTTTATTAAATAACCATGTGATATTTTTACAAATAAGAATATCCTCTACAACTACTGTAGCTTAGTGCTTCTTCTATGTGACATATAAATGAAATATAATATCATGCTACACCCTGCAGGCTCTCTGTCTTAACGAAGATTCTATCATCTTGGCAGAAAATTTGTGATTTAATTATTTAACCACTTGGGAATTATTTTAAATAAACAAAACAAATTGACAACCAAAGTCCTGACACAGTAGAATAATGAATTTTACACTTTCATCAATAAAAAGGGACTCATCAAACAAATGTCTGGACTCCCATAGAGCACTTTATTTCCTCTCAAATAGACTGGGGCTGCAGGATATTAGGAAAGCCTTTCAATTTTACAAATACATCATGTTTTTCGCTCTAGAGTTCTCACCACTCCTCGTGAGCTCTAGCATTGTAGCTTCTACATAAATACGTCTGCGCTGACTTTAATAGAAGAAAGAGAATATTTAATTTCTCAAATATACTGTTATTATAATCTGAGACAGTTTATAATAACACTTGACATGTAACATTCCACCACATCTGCAAAAGAAGGCCTTTGCAGACTGAGACTGACTCTAATACTAAATTTTGTGTTGTTTATATGTTCTTTGAGAGTTTTTGTTTCACTCTTGCTAAAATGGTGTGACAGTGGGGTTAAGCCCCGACTCTGGCTTTCAGTGTTCTTGTGTCCTTGGGCAAGACTCTTCACCCATACTTATGGTGGTCAGAGGGATTGGAGGCGCCAGTATAGGGCAGACTCACTTCTGTCAGTGAGCCCTGTCGTGGGAAAAAAAGTATTCAACTATTCACCCTAATTAAATAAAAGGAGATTGATTGATTACACTCAGTCGGCACATTTATTCATATCTTTGCAAAGAGAGAACAGTTCATCATATAGTCCTTATGGCACAGCATTCTGCCCTGTTCTGCATGAGCAGCGTTCTTTCCTCTTATTTAAAACAATGAAAAGTAGTCAGAGTCAAAACAAATTACAGACGCTTTGGTTAACAGTAACATGTTATGAATAAACCTTCAGAAAGAATCTGGTTTGTTATGAGAAGAAGTTATGTCTGGTCTACAAACACCATCCTGCAGAGAATTGTGTGGCCTTAAAAGTGAAACAGACTGAGTGAAAAACTGTTATAGTGGGTAAATAGGATGAATTAATATATAATAGAAGAGAAATCTAAATTGTCTGACAACAGCCCCAGGGCAGCTGTGGTTACAATGTAGCTTGCCACCATCAGTGTGTGGGTGTGCGTGAATGGATGAACGACTGAATGTAGTGTGAAGTGCTTTGGTTAAGTCCGACTTGAAAAAGCGCTGTATAAGTACAGGCCATTTATCCTTAACCCAATACAGTGAATCCACTGTAATTGCACTATTGCACACACTGATAATGGGTTTATAATTTACCAGATTGTACAGCTCTAGTCCAACTCTGAATTAGGGCTACAGTAAAAATTGTTTTTTTTGCAATTTTATTTAAAAGGCATTTTTAGTGGTGTGGGAAAAAATCGATTTGACGATAGATTGTGATTTTCGGCTGCCAGATACAAAATAGATCTTTCAGTACCTAATATCGATTTTTTTTTTTTTTAAACAAAAAATTTTTACTTAAAACAATGAGGGGAAAATGGGCTACCTCTGCCCCGCCACTATGGCAGATAGCACTGCTTCCAAACAACATGGATACCAAAATAACAAAATGATCAATATCTTCTGATGAACATATACAGCACTTGGTCTTTCATCTATGCATTTAATTTTGTTAGCTGGGGAAAATATTCTAATATATAGTAATATTGCAATATTGTGAAATCGTATTGTGACCCAAGTATCGTGACACATATCGTATCGCTACACCCATGCCAAAACTCACCCCAAGACATTTTCATGTTTGTCTCCATGGTGTCATTGTTTTCATTACCTTGAATGAATAGAAAAGTCCTTCCTTCCAGCTAGTATGCTAGCTGCAACTCTTGCTTTCCTTCTGTTCAGCGGCAAACCAAATTTAAGCATATCACCGCCACCTAAAATGCATGGATTGAGAAAAATGGATCGCGCAATTTTTGAAAAATTGAATTTTTTAAAATATTCTGATATTTTTGCAAATTGCATTGATTGTTCAGCCATTGTTTAAATACTCCAAGATAAGTGATGAGATAAGACATGAACTTAAGACATAATTTAAATCAAAGAGATTGACATTACAGATATTGTCACCACTGCTACACTGGAAAAACGATCTAGAAATAAGTAAAAATGTCTTAAATAAAGTGTATTTACCCTTAATTTCAGTAGGTAAATGAGATACGGTAGTTTGCCAATGGAATGAGTATTTATACTCATTAATAATTAGATAATATGCATTTGAAATAAGACAATTGTCTTGTTCGATTGGCAAAGTGTCTGTTTTACCTCTTCAATTTAAGAACAGATGCACTTATTTCAAGACAAAATGACTTATCTAGATTTCGATTTTTTTTCCAGTTTAACAGTATGAGCAGGCAAGGCTTCAATTTGCCCCAAGCAAACTGGGGAGCGACCAAAAAAATATAGTTCTTGAAAATGATTTTTTTTTAAAGAAGGCTGTAAATATAAAATAGAATTTATCTAATTCATCTATTGGCAAATCTTTGAAAAATTCTTTGTTCAATCACCATTGGTGATCCGGAGGTGATCAAATGGTGATCACCTCTGGTTCAATCCGGATGTTATTCAAATAGGGTACAAAAAGAAAGAAACATCAAGTATTAACAGAATTTATTAACAAAACTTAGAGAGAAGGATCTCATCACCTTTGTCTCAGGCCTGATTTCTTTTACTTTTTTATGTGTCCTGTTTAGCCAATATTGCTCTGGGAATTGGTGTCCCAGAGCTAGCTGATAGCCCAACAACCCTAAAATGAACCCTAATTAATGATGCAACGTTTTCTTCTTGTCATTTATGGAAAGTCTTTTTTTGGTTGCCTTAAAAAGCCGCTTAACTGTCTGAGCTGCAGCAAAGAACAGGTAGGCTTCTTTTTTCCGGCTCTGCACACAGCTGTGCAGATGTCACCCTGCTGCTCCATTTAGGATTATGCTGAAGGAGCCTTTTGTTAGTCTGTTACATAAGGCTCCTTCACTGTTAGTAAGCCAGATCAAGCATGAATCTCCCCAGAGGAACACTGAAGAACATTGGAATATTGACCCAAACAGGGTTGTATCTTAGAATAGACCAGCAAAGTTACCTCTTTTGGTGGGAAACTTGCATTTTTTTCTATGTTTAAAAGCTTTAATTACCAAAGACTCTTTGCAAATTGGAAGACAGTATTGCATTTTTAGCTCCTATTAATTTGATATCCTGCTTTATAACCTGCTGCGGTCTCGTGAAAGCAAAAAATCTAATTAGTTGGTGGACTTTTCCTGTGTTTTGCTGCAGAATGCCATGATGACATTCGAGGAGGAGAAGATGCAGATGGCCTGTGATGACCTGAGGACCACTGAGAAACTCTGTGAGAGTGACAGTGCTGGAGTGTTAGAGACACTCCGAAACAAGATAAAAAAGAGCGTAAGTAAACACTCAGGCAGAAGTAGGGTTCTGAATAAACTGTTTAGAGAACCTTAAAGCAGAAATACAATCAGGAGCACTGCAAAAAAATCTAAATCTAGATGAGTCATTTTTTCTTAAAATAAGTGCATTTGTTCTTGAATTGAGGAGGTAAAAGAGACATTTTGCCAATGGAACAAGACAATTTACACTTAAAATAAGAAAACACAATTGCATTGTCTTATTTCAAGTGCATTTTATCCAATTATCTTATTTTAAGTGTAAAAATACTCATTCCATTGGCAAACTATCTCCTTTACCGACTCAAATTTAGGATAAATACACTTAATTTAAGACATTTTTACTTATTTTTTTGTTATTTTTGCAGTGAGAAAAGCATAAAGCCAATTAGGAGATTTTGTTGGAATCCTGATACTTCTTATATCTTCTAGCATTTCAGCAGGAACACACATTTAGATAACGATGTTAAAACCCCTCAGCAGTAGGTGTGATCATCCCGATTGCAGTGAGATCATGCCGAACCAGCGGTCAAATTCAATTACAACGTCGCTGAAATTTGATCTAAAACTGGAAGAGAAGCCACCAGGCTGCCTAGCATCTTCAGGTTTATTGATAAAGTCTGTTTTTTTTCACTACCTATCCCACTGCTATCAGATCGACGTAGCAACATCATCCAAACGGATGCGGCTTACTGTACACGTGTGCTTGTTTGTGTGGGTTACAGATGGACTCCCAAATGTCAGGCGTTGCTGTTGTGGACCGCCTCCAGAGACAGATCATTGTTGCTGACTGCCAAGTGTATCTAGCTGTTCTGTCTTTTGTCAAACAGGAGCTCTCAGGTAATTGCAAGACAAGCCGCCTTTTGATAGTGTTGATTAATACACTATTTCAAGCATTATTTCACTTTGGCTATTACTCCTGATCCTCCTTTTGTTTTTGACCTGTGACATAAATGCACAAAAAAATGTTTTTCTTTTGTACTGGCTTGTCTTTAAGAATGGAAAGAACTTTATTTTTCTTTTAATTTGACAATTTTACTTAATATATTATCTCTCATTACATATATTGAGTGTAAACATGCAAAGTTTATCAGTTAATTACACATCTTAGTCAAATCAAGTTATTATTATAATACAAAAAATACTTAATTAACTTTTAAAACTACAGTTTATTGTAGTTCTCAAATATATATATATTTTTTTTATCTTAAAGGGTTATATAAATAAAATATTTTATTGCTGAAATCCTTAAAAACAAAATGAGTCCCATGATTTAACTATCCACTCTTTTACTCTAAAATACCCAGCAACCCCCTCTCTCTAAACTATCTCTTTGGTCACATTGCTGATATAAATAACATTTAACTTTGTTGGGAAAATGTGTACAAGAAGCAGGATAAGTATAAAGTCCAATTTGCACCGAATAGTTAGAATGACCAATTTATGATGCTGCCCTGATACACAGATTCAGTGTGTTTTGGATAAACAGTTAAAAGGCTAAAGGTTAAAATGCCTCAGAAAATAGGACCCAGAATTCAGGCAAGACAGACAGTGGAATACTTAAAAAGAGTTTATTTAAATAAAGAAAGATCAGATCTGCAGTGGCAGTGCCAGCAGCGGCTAGGGCGTCTATAACAGGAACGTCTACAGGAAAAAAAACCACAGGTTAGTGACTAAGATAATCTGATAGAGGATGATTATTAACACGTGAGTCACTAACCTGATTTGGCAGTTCAGTCCGTGCCCAGAGAACAAGGATTGTTCCAGCCGGTCGGCTGACAATGTAGCAAACACTGCCAGAAAGTTCCAGACGTGGAAGCCTAGAAGGCTGCAGAAGCTGACAGGAAATCAGATCCATGCTGACGAAGGAAGGCAGGATAATCCACAGGGAGAAGTCAAGACGCAGATCCAGGTTCAGTCAACAGAAGAATTAAACAGGAGTCTGAAGACTGTCCAGACAAACAGTTCAGACAGGGGCAGGCAGGCTCAAAGGTCCAAATACAGAAACGGATCAGGATCAGCAAATCAGAACACTATAGAAAGCTAGAGGACTCCCTACACCAAAGGGTCACGTTTAATCTGGCACTGATGGCTGGGAACAAGGAAATTAAATAGAAGCAGGAGCAGGTGGATCAGATGAGCAGTGATGAGAAACAGGGCAGAGCTAGACAGGTGAAAAAAATTGAGCAATCAAGCCAGCCATCAGCTCCAAAATCATGACAGAGCCGTCTATTGCAATAATATCATAAACTCATATTTTTTAATCTACTGACTAGTCTAGAAATATGACTGCCTCCTCTGCATAAGAAGTCAATTTCAAGCATTCAGGAGCCTGAGGTGAGTGATTTTCCACTAGAGCAGACATGCTGCATAACTACATCATCTTTCCATGGTTACGGAGTTAGCACATTGTTTGCATATATCTCTGCTGCAACATGCCTGTGTGAAGCTTACTGTATGCAACGTCTCTAGAGCTGCAACACTGTTTTTAACATCCAGAACAATTGGCACCCTGACTTCAATCTATGCATGCTACTCTATCAGATTATTATTTTTTGTCTTAAAGCAATATATTATTTCTGTATGTGCCAAAGCAATTGAAGTTAGATGCAGAGTAGGACGATATAACAGATGTTCATTTTATTAAAACCCTTTAGCTTTGTTCCCTAGTTTCAAATCGTGCTCAACATTCTGTGTAAGGCATGCATTGGCAAAAAAGTTCTTAGAAGCATCTAAGAAAGCTGCTTTAATGCAGTTTAAAATGTTGTTAGGCATTATTCTCATGTGAAAAGGAAAAGGTTATATGCATGATTGGTTGCAAATTTGTTACCAAAAGGAAGCTGGTCAAATTACTGTAAAAGTGAAAAGGATATCTGCTGGTGCTGCAACTCCAACAAAGGGGGGGTTCAAAAATAATTTAGTTCAAAACCATAAGGCTCCTCAAATCTATGTTGCAGCAAAACACACACACAAAAAAAAAACTTTTGTTTTATATCCACAAGCACTCAGTAAAAATAAAGCTGAATGTTATTAGAATTAAAAAAACTGCAAATGTTTCATGTTTTGCTGTACCACAAACAAAAAGGCACAGCAAATCCATGTGGAGGGGTGTTTGCAGTTCAACCATAATGTGATACAGACATGTGGAAGAAGCTTGATCTGGTTGATTGAGACCAGAATTTAACTTAATGGTCCACAGGCTACTTCTAGGTATGAACAATCCCCACATTTAAACATGGTGGAGGCTGCATCATGCTGTGGGGATAGTTTGACCAAGCAGGGACAGGGAAGTTGGTCTTTTAACAGTGAAAACAGAGATCCAGTGTAAGATTAGCTTTTATTGCTTCTTAAAATAAAATAAAATCTTTCAAAAGATTTATATTTCTTAGTTTTTGTCTTTCCTTAGATTTTGTTCTCTTCATTTGTTTTAGCTTCCTTAGCTTTAATTTATGGAATGTGTCTCATCATTCTTTTTACATTTGGTTTAATTTAGTTTCCATGAACTTCCACAGTCAATTTTAAGCCAGATTTTCACAGTTCTTGATGGTTACACATAAAACACTGGAATATCCTCAGTAAACGTTCGCAGCAACGATGTGACTCATCGTGCTCCAGCAGCTCAGAACAAACACCTTCTATCAACAGGAAGGAGGAGGATTAATTGATTTTTAAAAACAAGACTCAGAGCCACCATAGTGGTTGCTCTTGTTGGAATAAGTGACACCTAAGTTCACTGAAATAAACAATCTTAATAATCCAAACAGCACCTGGCTGATGTTTTATTATTAACATGTCCAGTAACGTTTCCTTGCTAAATCTTTGCCTTATTTTTCCCTAACAGCCTATATAAAAGGAGGCTGGATTCTCCGTAAGGCTTGGAAGATGTACAATAAATGCCACAGTGACATCAGTCAGCTGCAGGAGACCTGTCAGCGGAGGCCCTCAGGTAACCAGCAGTCCCTCTCAGCTGACAACGCCAACCACAATGTGGAGAGCGGCGTGACGGCCGAAGCCCTGGACCGACTCAAAGGCTCGGTCAGCTTCGGCTATGGCCTCTTCCACCTGTGCATCTCCATGGTACCTCCACACCTGCTGAAGATTATCAACCTGCTGGGTTTCCCTGGTGACCGTCTCCAGGGCCTGTCCTCTCTCATGTATGCGAGTGAGAGTAAGGACATGAAGGCACCGCTTGCTACGTGAGTAGACTTAAATCTATTAAGGAAAGATGTCTTACCAGATTGATTCTACCAGTTCATTGTTTCCCTGAACAGTTTTTCATTTTTTTAATATAACAGCAGATATAAAATGAGAAAGTGACTTCAGCTTTTTAGATCTTTTAGTTATAAGTTTGGTCGGTCACATCTTCACACCTTAGTTGCATCATCATTACAGAAATCTTGTCCTGTCATCACACTGCCTGTTTATAAATCATAGCCCTTCTCTGCCCTCCAGAGGAAAGTGAAGAGAATATAATCTGTATAACTCAATCTGAAAAAGAGAAATTTCGAGAAAAAAAACTGTAAAATTTAAAATCTGTGTAAAAAAAAATACATTAAATTAAAAAAAGAAAAATACAATTTGAAAAAAATAATTGATATTTCTTGAATGCTTTGTTTTTAAATGTCTATTTACAAACTGTGTTCTTAGCTGGCATCAACAATAGAAGACATTTTTTTGTTTTTCTAGAAGTGCTTAGAAATAGCTTTGGAAGCCTTTTCAGACTGACTCCTGCTAATAGATTGTTTCTCATCTGTCTGAATTTCTTTCGATTCTACAGGTCGGATATTAACCAGGCTGGGTTGTTGCTAATATGTAAACAATCACAGTCAGAATATGATGAAATGGTTTGTTTGTGCAGCTTTATTCATAAATGATAAAATAATTTAAAAACATTCTTTTTAAAATGTCCTCAGATTATCTTTGTCTGACATTCATATTGATTTACTTAAAAAAAAACACACAAGCGTCTTAATACATTTCTACACCCCTCTGTAATGAAAGACACCATTTCTCAAAGTAAAAAAACAAATTATTAAAGCATTATGAAATAAACATGAATGCAAGTAAGATTTTATACCTATTTAGTTCATTACTCTGCCCATTAATACAAATTATTTTAGTGTCCTTTTTTTTATAAAGTCATCTTTCATGATCCAAGTCAGCAGGTTTGTGTCATGAATGGTTTAAGCGATCTGACACACATGCAGAGAACCACTCAGAGACCAAGGGAAAAAGTTTAACAGGTTTATTAAATGTAGATGAATAACAGAAGTTGGATCTGAAACTCAGTGGACTGGTGAACCTGAACTGGAATATTTGAAGGCGAGATCAGTTCAGGGACTGTAGAAAATTTGACTGAAGCTTGAATATTACTGGAGAGGGACTCACGTTTAAGGGGGCTCTTGTCAATACTTGAATCCAGCTTGTGGGGGTTAATCCAGAGAAGAGGGAACTCCTTGGAGGGCTCACAGATAGATAAGCGTTGGACCCAGAGGAGTAAAGGAGCAGACTGTCACTTGGATTTTTGAGGAGGACTTGAACGGATCATGTGGAGGTTTACCCCTGCTCAGTGTGTACTCAGTTAATCCTTCCAGGGGGAGAAGGTCCAGGTATCCAGTTACTCAGGAAGGCTTCCTGCCGAAGACCAAAACTAGACAAAAACTAGATAAGACTGAGAGAAACAAAGCTAAGGTTAGACTCTGCTAATCTCAGCTTGGCTAGAGTACCCAAAACTGGCAAACACTCTGGCGTCGAGGTAGTGACAGCCCACTGCTCAAATACTCCTCCAGTAATGATCCAACGAGCCGCAGGTGTGCAAGGAGGCCCAACAAGGACAGGGCACCACCTGGTGGTGGAGAGAGAAAAAGACCAAAACAATCCACCCAAACTGGATTCCTAACAGTTTGACCAGTGACAATACCCAGACTTTTAAACCTGGATTATATCCGTCTCTAGTGACATAATGACGCTGATTGGCCAACAGATTCCTCCTGTTAAAAAGTGACCTTATGAAATTAAAAGGCCATTAGGGAAAATCTAATTACAAAATAAAAGCTGACTTAAAAAAAAAAGAGACTTTGAAATAAAAGCAGTTGAAAGAAATACAAATTTTTATTTTACTTGCGTTTATTGTCACATTATGTACTTGTGTTTTATTTATTTAAACTAGTATTTATTTAGCTTATAATGGTGTAATAATTTATTTTATTTCCAAGCATTTTTCGGTTCCATAGTGTAGATTTTAGAGGTATGAGAGTAATCTTCCTTTAAATGTTGTTGTGTGGCTCAGGTTGGCCCTCCTGTGGTATCACACCGTGGTGCTGCCCTTCTTTGCCCTGGAGGGCTCGGATACTCACGCAGGGCTGCTGGAGGCCAAAGCCATCCTGCAGAGGAAGTCGGTGGTTTACCCCAACTCATCCCTCTTCATGTTCTTCAAGGGACGGGTTCAAAGACTGGAGGTACATTCTGGAGTGGCTGTAGATGTGATGGGAGCGGCGTGGTTCCATAGCTGCACACATAAGACTCATTGGTTTTGAACAGAAGAAAACAAAACGTGTCATAAAGAAAACAACAGCTTCTGTTCAAGCGCATGAACTCACCGTCATGTGATCTGCCGTCTGAACAGTCTGCGTCTGACATGATTACTGTTTACCTGTGGGTGTGTGGTCTCTCTCCTCTGTCCCCAGTGCCATATCAACAGTGCTTTGGCCTGTTTCCATGATGCATTAGAGCTTGCATCAGACCAAAGAGAGATCCAGCATGTGTGTCTCTATGAGATTGGTACGTGTTTTCTCATGCGGTTAGCCGCTGCACATCGAATGCAGAGGGACCGGAATGATGCCGTCCGCTTTTCTCTGTGGCAGGTTGGTGTAGCATGATAGAGCTGAACTTCGAAGATGCCTTCAGAGCGTTTGAGAGATTAAAAAATGAGTCCCGATGGTCGCAGTGCTACTATGCCTACCTGACTGGAGGTAGGAATGAGGATGGCGAGAAAAGGAAACATTAGGAAGTGTTTGGAAATCCTGTTTGATTTCCTTCGTGTTTCCTTTCAGTGTGTCAGGGGGCTTCAGGGGACCTGGATGGAGCAAATGGAGTTTTCAAAGACGTCCAGAAGCTGTTCAAGAGAAAAAACAACCAGATAGAGCAGTTTGCTGTCAAAAGGGTTAGGCATACCTCAGAAACCTTCACATGCTTTTTTTGATTTTAAAAATATTTTGCTGTATTGCTGCAGGAGTTTGACTCCTTTGTTTTGTCCTTTCTGCAGGCGGACAGACTGAGAAAGGTCTCACCCACCAGACAGCTGTGCATCCTGGGGGTTATCGAAGTTCTTTATCTGTGGAAAGCTCTTCAGAACGGCTCCTCAACTAAACTGCAGATCATGAATCAGGGTCAGTAAAACTCACAAAAGGATCAACTTTTTCCTTAAAGAGTCTCGGTAACCACAAATGTGTTTTATTGGGATTTAGTGTGACGAACATCAGAGCTTAATTGTGAAATATGTCCACTTACGGTATTTTAAATTGATTTTGGTCTGAACTTTAACTAGGTCGTCAAACATATATGCTAGTATATTGCTGCTTTCCCACCGAAGACGTTTTGAACGTCAAAAAGGCTTTTAAGACCTCATCTAGAAAGCTTTTCTGTCATGATTTTCTTATGGGATCTGACCCACATGCAGTAAACCACTCAGAGAAACCAGGGTTAAAGTTTAACAGGTTTATTGAGGAGATGAACGGGGTTGGATTCAGGAAACTCAGGGTACTGGTGAACCGGAACTGGAAGTGGGAAGGGAAGTATCAGAGGTCCATGGGAACTTTGAACGATGACTTTGGAAAAAATGGGACTCACGTTAGTGGAGAAAACATTCTTACAGGAATCCAGTCTTGTTTGGGTTAACCAGAGGGAGGAACTTGTTGGAGGGTGGACAGGTTTTGTTTTGGTTGGTTCCTGAGGCACTATGGAGCGGACTGTCACTTGGAATTCAGGAGGTCTTGAACAGAACTTGTGGAGGTTAATTCCCTGCTCAGTGTGAGGAAGAGAAAGACACAAAAACAACCCACACAAACTGGATTCCTAACATTGTCCTCATTGAATTCAGATGTGTTCTAACAGCATTTTTGACACAGTGTCCATTCAATTCTGCTTTTCTGGTCTCTTATGTTAAAGACGCAATAGAGAGTGGCTTACTATATTGTCATGAGTGAAAGAAAAAAGTGGTTTTAAGATGTTTTTATAAGCATTTTTACTGGTAAAACTTTCAAGTAGTAGAATTTAAAAAAGAATCTGCTATTTGAAACCAGAGAGTTAAACATTTTATGAAGGTATTTAAAAGCATCCATTAACAAAATATCAAAGAATTCTCACTTTTCTTTATACATGAAGAAATTACATCCTCTTGTTTTTTTATGTAAACCTACAGTAGTAAAGTGTAACGCCTTTAAATACATATATTATTGTTTATTTCCGTTGGTTTTATGTTAACATCTCTGCAAAAAATGAGATTTTCCAACTCAAGTGTCTGACGCTGAATGTCATAATAAATCTCAGCAGCCTTTCCTTAATTTGTAAAATGTTTTAGTTTCTAAACAAAACAGAACTTAACAGTACTGTGGAGGATTTTCACTTTCTTTTTAAAAGATCCACCCTCTCCATTAAAAAAATACACAAGCACCACCCCATACCCGCTCCCGAGAGGGAATGTCTATTAAACGTGTCCGAGAGCATGCACAATCCCATTTCTGATACACTTCATAGACACTTTTTCTCCTACGACCCTTGGCCAATTTCAAAGAAGAAAGGTGAGCTTCAATGACTGTCTGAAACTGTAGCTCACAACATAAACGCCTGAAAGTGCGCATGTGCAGAAAAAGATAGCTAACTGGGGTCGAGCACGTTGGACAGACTTACGTAAACATATCACCAGAATGATTGACAATTAGGAGGACCCCTTATTTCGATGATCCACTCGGAAATAAAAGATCGTCCTCTATACCTTTAATTTTTCCATAGCGGTCCCATTTATAATGAGACTAAATCAGATGCTGGTGAACTTTGTTAACAAAATAAGTGATTTCAGGGGATTTCATTGAAGGGTAAAAGTGTAAACTTTGCACTTTATTCCATTTTAATCGTAAAAACATCATAACCTCAGATCCACTCCATCATTTCAATCCATGCAACATATTTTTTTTTTCCTTATGCACTGAAATTCCAATAAAAGACAAAAAAGTTTGTGGCTTGAATTGTCTCTTTTAAACCTGCTATCATGCCCTGTGCTTTAAACAGTGTTGCAGAGTTTAGATGAGCCTTCCTGCAGAGGCCTGAAAAATCTCCTCCTCGGTTCGGTCCTTAAATGCCAAGGAAACATCAGAGATGCTGTTCAGGTAGAGCCCTACTCTGTTCACACAATTACTCTGGAGTTCACCCTAACCGGAAGTCGTTCTCATCTTGCTTTAATTTTGCCTGTGATTCAGTCGTTCCAGCTGGCTGTGAGGGATGAGTACGGACGACACATCAACTCCTACATTCAGCCGTACGCCGTCTATGAGCTTGGGTGTATCCTCCTTGCAAATCCAGAGGTTTGTCATTTTGTATTTTGTTAAAAGCATGAGTTTGCTTACTTGTAAACGTTGTGCTATGAATGTAATTTTCTCCGTTGCTTGGTTCAGACAGTGGCAAAGGGGAGATCGTTCCTACTTCAAGCCAAGGTAAAAAGAAATAGTTGGGATTTCTAATAAGGAATCAAGCAAAAAAAAGAAAGCTTTAACATGAATAAATGTTTGTCTCTCTGTAGGAGGACTTTACAGGCTATGACTTTGAAAACCGGCTTCATGTCCGCATCCACTCAGCGCTGGCCTCCTTGAAGGAGGTGGTTCCTCAGTGACTCCAAGAGGGAAGACTTTAATGTCGCACAAAGTTGTAGTCCCGTCACTGGTGATAGCACACTCTGTGTTTTTCTTCTAAAACGAACCGAGGACACAATTGGGAAACGGTTGTCACATTAGACAGTCTGATAATAAAGTGCTATCTCTGTGCATTTTGTAAAGCAGCAGATCAAGATGCTCGTTCTCGCACACGGGTAGACAAAGGTCATGTTTGGTGCAGAGATGTGTCCTGAACTCCACCAAGCCGCCCACCAGCAACTGCATCTGGTTGCAAGTGTAAAAAATGCCTCTGATGCTATAGATGCGGTTCCATCGCAAAGTGTGATGTAAATAACAAGCTTAAAACAGGGCAACCTAACTGCATAAAGAAGATCAGTGCTAGCTACCTTCCTCCTCCCCCGGTTTATCTTAGCCAGTTTGTCGCTTCCTGGACCTTTTTCTGGACTGAATGCACAGAGATTCAGCTGAAACACAGTTTTTATTAAATCCACTCCTTGATATTCTTTCAGTGTTTTCTCTCACCGTAATGTATTTGCTGTCCGCTAACATATGTACTCATTAACTTGTGCATTTTAAGGACTTAAATTCTGCTTTTAGCTTAATAAAACAGATTAGCACACAGTAGGACACGTTTTCTTTATAATGTTATAGAAGATGGCCCTTTTTTCCTATTTCTTTAACGATACAACCTTAAAATTGACTTTAATGGGATTTTATGAGTAAATTAAACTTCCGATGTAGAAAGAAAAAATGAAAAAAAAAACAGAAATATAGGACAAGCATGGATCTTATTTATATTCAGGCTGTATTACCACCCCATGCTCACTGCAAAAACTGATTTAAAAATAAGTAAAAATGATATAAAATGTGTTTGTTTCTCCCTAATTTGAGCTGGTTTTGCCTTTAAAAGAGATGGTTATATATAATGTCCTTGAAATAAGACATGTCTATCTTATTTTAAATGTAAGTTGCTAATTGTTTTAATAACCTGCTCAAAAAATATGGAAAACACACTTTGTTTAAGAAAAAATTGACTTATATTTAAATGTTTGCAGTGTTGCAGTTACAGTAAGAGATCAGTTATGATAAGAAAAGCTTTGCCCCCCCCCACTCCTAACTTTAAAAATAGATCAAACTGAATGAAAAACTTAGCTTTTCAGTTTTCTTCACATTCTTAATCAGACTTAGGTCTAGATTCTGACCAAAGGTAAACCTTACCCCCTTTTATAGTGCTAAACACAAATAGACACCAGTTTGAAGAAAACACAAAGAGATCCCTTCATGTCAGGAGACCAGCCACAGCCAACATTAGCCCCGCCTCCCATGCTCTGATTGGCTGGAGTTACAGAAAAAGTGTTAACTTCTATGAGGAACAAAACCCAACAACCTTGCAACTATGTATCAATCTAAGAGTAAGAGTGATTTTTCAGAACAGGAAGTGACTGAGGCAGACACGTTAGGAGGTGAACAAGTGCCTGAAACAGGAAAGACTTAGACTTGGAAAGACTTAGACAACTTTTACTGTCATTTTGTACAGCTCTCATGATATTTCCATTTCTTAAAGTGCAGCAGTGATCAGATGTAAACATTGTGGGAGAAAAAGATAGATATAGTCAGTTTGATACAGAGTCTGTGACATGATTTAGAGGTTTTTTTCAACATTCAGCAGTCTGATGGAAGTGGGGAAAAAGCTGTTGCAGAATCTGCTGAACCTGCATCAGATGCTGCAAAGTCTCTTGCCAGAGGGCAGCAGGGAGAACTTCCATAGTGGGGGTGTGAGGGGTTATTTATGATGTTACGGGCTCAGGACACGCAGCGCTGAGATGAAATGTCTATAATGGAGGGAAGAGGAGCCCTGATGATGATCTTCATTGCTGTTCTCACCACTCTTCTCACCTTCATCCAATCTGCGGCGCTGCAGCCTCAACCCCACACAGTGAGTCAGCTGGAACGCTCCCAGGAATTTGGTGCTGCTGACCACCTCTACAGCTGAGCTGTTGATGAGGAGTGGAACGTGGTTAGGCTGGTTTATCCTGAAGTCCAAGATGATCTCCTTGGTCTTCTCCACGTTCAGGATCAGGCTGTTGTCTCTGCACCAGTCTACCAGCTGCTCCACCTCCTCTCTGTAGTCCTGGTCGTTGTCGTCTCTGATTAGGCAGCCCTGAGGGGAGCTTATGCTTAGGGTTATGACATCAGAGGTGTTCTGTCTGATCCAGACTGACTGAGGTCCGTCGGTTATGAAGTCTAGCAGCCAATTGTGGAGGGGTGTATTGAATCCCAGCTGTTCAACTTTGCCCATCAGATGCTGTGGGATGATGGTGTTAAAAGCTGAACTAAAATCCAGGAACAGCATCCGCATGTGAGTGTTCTTCTCCTCCAGGTGTGCCAGGCTCAGGTGGAGAGCAGCAAAGATGGCGTCCTCAGTGGAGCCCTTCCGTCGGTAGGAGAACTGGAAGGGGTCGAATATTGGCGGCAGACTGGAGACGATGTGTTCTTTAACCAGCCTTTCGAAGCACTTAATCATTATTGGAGTCAGTGTGGCAGGCTGGTAATCATTTAGTGTGGTGACCTGAGGCTTCTTTGGGACTGGAATGATGGTGGCAGACTTGAAGCTTGCTGGCACTATGGATTGGTCCAGCAAGGTGTTAAAAATGTCTGTGAGGACACCAGCCAGCTGATCTGCAAACTCCTTATACACTCGCCCAGGTATGTTATCAGGCCCTGGGGCCTTCCTTGGGTTGACTCTCCTCAGAGTTTTCCTAACTTCAGCTATGTCCAGGTTTAGTGCTTCCTCCCCCTGATGTGGAACAGCTTTCACTGCTGGAGCGCTGTTTAGTGCCTCAAAGTTGTTCAGTTCATTTAGGAAGTCAGTGTTTGCTGCATCTACCGAGGGGAAGGTGTGTTGTAGTCTGTGATTAACCTGAATGCCTTTCCACATCCTCCTGGTGTTGCCGTCTGGCTGTGGTTTTGCTTCGCTGATCTGATGGCACGTTTTAAGTTGGCACATGCTGTTCTCAGAGCCTCTTTATCGGTTGGTGATGTTATTTTTGATGCTGGAGTCCTCAATGCATTTGTTAATGTAGGCCGACAGTCCGTTGTGTTCTGTCGCCTATCTCCATGATGTAATTTTCCATGTTGGTAATTCGTCATCTCTTCCTTGAGTTCTTGAAAGTTGTTTTCGTTGTCAGTGTTGGATCTTAATTTTTGAAGGACGGCTTGGAGACCGCCGTTAGCCATCTTGTCAGTTAGCCCTGTCTCCGTGGCCGAGAGGCTAGAGTGGATAGCCAGGCTAGCCGAGGTGTCTTCGTTCCTTTCTTTATTTAGTTGAGGTCTTTCAGGTTTACGGCCCCCCTTTCTTTTGGGTTTAAACTTATTGTTTTTCACTTTTCTTGGCTTAACATATCAGTCAGTCTTGTTGTTTGGTCAAGAAAGGATCAGCATGAAATGTTGTAGAGAGAGCCACAGAGTCAACCTGTCGCCATCATGGGCGCTCATCCACAAGTCAGTTTTCTTAATCATTTTCATGTGTTAACTTTTTTCTTAAAATTAACTTTTTTTTGTTTCTAAGGAGTGCAGAAACTGGACGAATTTGCCTCATTTTAAAAACAGCATCTATCTATATATAAAAAAAATGTAAACAGCTTTCTGCAAAAAAAAAAAAAATGTCATCTTAGTTTCCTTTTTCTCAAGGATCCAAATACAACATTTAATTTAAAATACATTTATAACCTTCTTAAATATATGCAATTGATAAAAGATTTATTGTAATGGGAACAATGTAAAAAAGCCATAGAATACGGACTAGAAAACTATAATGGGATATAACTACCTATCAAGTGAGAGAAATAGATCAATAGCTAAATTAAAATTAAAAAATTATGAAACGTGTTTGAGCTTTTATCCGTTACATCTCCACAAAAGGACCAATAAAGAGCATTGAAGGCCAGGAACCTTAATTACTGAGGGAAGAGTGACAAGTGGCATCAGGTGGGGATGGGATACATCAGTGGTTCCTAAAGTTTTCTATGACATTTCCTGTTGAAATACATAGGAAAATCTTTCCGAACAGAAGTCACTTTAAGGCTCCTCTGAAAGGAAATAAATAAAGCCTACAGCGGGTAAAGTTAAACGAATAAGATTTCCAAATCAGAACAGGTTAGAGAAAGGGAAGAAAACATATGAGGATAAACAGGGTGAAAAAGAAGTGTGCAAAGAGAGGGAATAAGGAGTGTGCTGAATGGGTGAGTCTGATGATTAAACTGGGGTTGAAGGTTAAGCCTTCCACAAAAACCTCCATTCATTGTAAATGACCTGAAACACGCATTGCATTACCTGCTATATCTAACATAACACTGTGCTCTATGCATAGCATGGCTGGGTGACAGTGGTGTGGTGTACTGAAGTCCAGCATGTTTTTTTTTCCTACAAAAAGCATAAAGTTTCCCCAACATTACACCTTTAGTTCAGTAAAGATGCCTGATCAAAAGTGCTGCTCCCGTATTACTATAAGCGCTTTTTATTACTGTTTTAGTGGTAGAAGCCTTTGACTTACTTCACAATAACTACTAGTTTATTAATAACAAAAAAATATATGTTTTTTGCAGCGTCTTTTTGCAGCTTTGTTGGGTTTGAGTGCCGTTAGTATTAACAGTCAGGCTTAGTTAACAACATTCGTAAAGGATTCTAACAAACTGTTCTAAGTTGTTTACATGACAATTATTTCAGTCCGGAGGATTACAGTTTATAGGCAAACACTCCAGTTTGTCATTCAAGCAATATTATCTGTAATAAACATTATTTAGTAAATCGCAAAGACTTCCAACTAGGGGAACTTTTCACTTTATTGTAGATTTACAGGACTTAGATGTCTTTTTTAATTTCTTTTTTTTCTCCACTGTGATCTTTTAAAAACATGGCTTTTCATGCCTCATGCCTGTGATGGATGTAAAGTGTAAAAAAAATAAATAAATAAAAGGGAGGCTGCTGTGATAAAAACATTAATGTGAAATGTCAATTAAATGTAAACAGTGTACCGAATACCTCTGTCACCAGAAGATTCCCTCTCTGTCAGTGTTGAAACCTGAGGCCAAGAGTTAGGTGTCAATAAACTGCAAAATAAACCGTTCTCCATCTTTATTGTCAACCAGTTGTCTTTTTGTCTCCTTTCTTATTCTGATAGCTATTTTCATGGTGTTTTAAAGGCAATCAAATGATGTTATTGTGTCATATCTTCTCCTGATTCCCTGAAAATATGATCTATGTTGGGGTAAGTTTAATTAAAATGCATCACTTAAAGCACAATACAGATATAGAACCTGTGATACGGTTAAGGAATATAAAGTAAAGTTGGATTACAAACCCTCTTATTTATTTGTTTTTAAGGTGAGTGTTTAAATACAGGCAGCTTAAAAAGGGTTAAAAAAGCATTTTTCCAGTTTTCTGGGAGTTTAGAGAAAGTCTAGAGAAGTAGATCTGGAATAAGAGATCTGAGTGTTTTTATTTTAGTTCTATGGCATTCAATGATTTATATACTAACAGACATATTTTAAAGTCTCTCCTCTGAGATACAGGGAGCTTGTGTAAAGACTACTTTATTTATTACAGTAAGAAGGTTTTATAAC